AATATCACTTTTGATCAATTTAATGCATCCTTGCTAAATAAAAGTATTAATTTCTTTCAAAAAAAAATCTTACCAACTCCAAATATTGGTAAGATTATCAAATTCCATTAGAACAGTTAAAACAGTTAGAAATGTACACATTTCTAACTGTTTTAACTGTTCTAATGGAATTTGATAATCTTACCAATATTTGGAGTTGGTAAGATTTTTTTTTGAAAGAAATTAATACTTTTATTTAGCAAGGATGCATTAAATTGATCAAAAGTGATATTAAAGACTTACATTATTACAAAAGATTTCTATTTGAAATATTATGAAATCATGAAATATTCTATCTAAAAATCTATTCATGAAAGAAAGAATACAAAAAAAGTGTCACATTTTTAACACTGATAATAAAAACAAATGTTTCTTGAGCAGCAAATCAGCATATTAGAATGATTTCTGAAGGATCATGTGACACTGAAGACTGGAGTAATGATGCTGAAAATTCAGTTTTGCATCACAGGAATAAATTAACGCAGTGCTTCTAATTGCTTTGATATTCCAAAAATACACCCTGAAGTTTCAGTTTCATCCCCAATTACTAAAACTGAAAATGCCTATTATTTAAATTTGAAAGTCAAAATCGCATGATTAGCTTTAAAAATGGGGCCAGATTTTTTATTTGGATTTATTTTTTTTAACTATTTTTATTAAATATTTCATTTAAATGCATAATTGTACACTTTAGAAAACACTGTTACCTTTTGGGAATGTTGTGTGCCTCTTTAGAAAACCTCAGGAGTCTCCCCTGAACCTCTATGCCTACATTGAAAGCCAGCAACAGCTCCAGGCCAGAGGGTTTAACAGGCAGAGTTTCAGCCAGTGCCAGAACAGCTGGCAACACAGCACCAGAGGGGTGAGTGGCTGGATGCCAGGTGTCATCAAAGTCCATAGAGTGCACCTAATTTATCACAGGAACACATTCCATTATCAGTCTGAGAAAACACATATGTGCTTTAGCATGACCTGCTTGATTATGAAGAAATGAGTAAATGATTGTTTTATCACAAGTATATGTATTTATCAGAGTATCTATTTAAAATGACCTACCGCAACCCCATTAACAAAGGCAGCATACTGAGGTGGAAGAGATAATCCTGGTCTTCCCCAGACCTTGCTGTCTTCCAATGCTTGCTGCCTCTAAATTATAAATTACCAAAAAGAAATGTGCATTAAACATAAAATACATCAAAGAAGGACCAATTAACAATATTCCTCTATGCAAACACCATCCTTACTTGGCTGCACTGAAGTACTGTGTTAAAGACTGGGGTGCTGGTTCCAAGCAATCCCACTCCCAGCGTGTCCAGTATCATTCGCTTGCTCCTCCTTATCACTTCATCGGTCAGATGAGATGTGTTCAGACTGGAGACTGCTGCCCCAAAACTCTCAGTAACTCCCTGAGAATATAATAATAATAATATTGCATAGTACATCAACAGCACAAATACACTTTGGATGCATTTGAATTTTAAATTTGGCAAAAGAAGAAATATATGTGTAAAACATAGCTGGATGAATTATCTAACATTGCTTTATCATGCAAAGAAATAAGTCAGTACCTTTCTGATCATTGTGTGAGGTCTGAATCCTGCTGTGACTTCAGTGTGGTAACGTTCGCCTTATATACTAATGTTCCTGTAACTAAAACTGGCTCACCAACCACTAACTTTCCAAGGTTACTTAACCACAATAGCGTGAAGTGCATTGTTTCACAATTTGCAACTACCTAATGGCATTAAATCACAGTTTAAACTTCGCACAAGAACATGACAAATTTTTAATCATACTGTATGTTTTGATTTTACAATATATTTCCACAAAATAAAATTAGCAATAAAAAAATTAAGCATAAAACGTAAGACCAACAAATTATTATTATTAATAATAATAATAATTATTATTATTATTCCAGAACTTGGCTTACACATTAACACATTAACATTGATCAGATCATTGTCCACACAGCAAAATATTCTCTTTTTACAGAAAATTAAAATAACTTAATGGAATCAGAGTGCTTTCATGGAATGGAATTGAAAACAGGACCATTATCAAATCACATGATATTAGGATATGACATATTTCATGAACTTGTATACACAGTGTGCATCTCCAGCATTTGTGAAATCTGGAATTTCTTTTGCAATTGTTCTGTCAGTCACTGGTTCCTCATAGTGTCACATGACATGAGTGTGACCCTTGTGAAGTGAAAGAAATATAGGCTATTGTATTGTTTAATGTATTTTTGTAGACAGTATTAAATTACTGAACTTTCCAGTTGTTAATGCCATCAATATTTACATGACAGTTTTCAAGATTCTACGTTTTGGATTTATTATTTTAGTGTCTTCCAAGTGTTTTATTGAACAGTTTAAAGTCAGTTTTCCTGATGCTTTAACATCATTCTTGTTCAATAAATGCTTATTTCCCATTAATTTTTTTTATTATGCATGAATCATTATGCAGTTCATAATTTTACATGCTGTATGACCTGAATTGGGTGACAAGTAAAGGTGTTAAATGTGCAACTGGTGCTCCGGGACTGAAAAACACTGTATAGAAACCTATGTTTTATATTCTTTAGAGTTATGGAATAATTAATTTACTTGCGGTTTACAATATTATATAACACTGTTATATAGCAGTGGAGTCTTCAGTTCCTGTCTTACTAGTGGACAGAACCATGGTGCAACCTTTAATTTCACCCTTAGCCCCTTCTGGTGTTGTCATAAAGCAAGGCCAGACACAACAGATAAGTGAAAGACAGGATGGTTTATTGATACAGGATGTGGAGGAGTGGAACGGGTTAGGTTAAGGCAGGTGAGTGTCAACAGAGTGAATGATTCCAGGGTTCTTATCTGAGTTCTGAGGGTGAGTGTCTGATGCCAGTCTTGTGGGAGATCGTGGAACAGCTTCCAAGGAGTTGTTGGAGGATCGCAGGAGAACCAGAAGGTAAGTCTTTCTAGGAGAATATCGTATAGAGAGTCCAGGACAGTCCATAGGAGTGAACGGTAGACCGGACAGTGAGTGACTGTGATGTGTGTGTATTTGTAGTGTGGCTTGATTGGTGACAGCAGGTGCGGGTGATTAGAACTCAGGTGACTGTGATCGGGTGATTATCCTGGCTGGTCACTGCAGTGACTGTGACGAATCCCTGACAGGTGTACAGATGCAAGCACAGCCTTTAGCTCCAGCCCGAGCCTGTTTTGTCTGACAGTTAGCCTCTGCCTCACTGAACCCTGGAGCTTCTGCCTCCACCTTCTGTCCAGAGGTTTGCTTGTATTAAGCCTACAGTATAGTATATTTATTGCTGGTGGGATGTTGCATTCATGGATTGTAAGAGACTGTTTCTTTTTCCATAATTTGCTAGTGGTCTCTTTATTCAATCATGTGTTGTTGCTGTATAAAAACTTAATTAAAAAGCTATTTAACTGTCACTCAAGCATGTCTGGATGAGGTTTTCTAGTTAAAATTACTTGTATTACATTGCTGTATGTGCAATTATATAAATTTCGAGTTTGATTTAACTTTTATTTTACTTTTTAAAATTAAAACACAATGCATTGCAAAGTACACTTCTGTGTTCTGTTTGTAACTTTATTTCAAATCAGGATTTTGCTGATAGCCTAACATAAATGAACTGTCATACATTAGATTTTGACATTGAAACAATTAGTTTTTTTTTTCAGTGCATGTTGAATTTGATTTATTACAGTTAGATTTAATAGTTTTGATAAACCAGTGGAAACATAATGGCTGACTCCACATATATAGGCCTTAGGCAGGGTATTGCCATATTTAATTTTTGATGAAAATGAAATCCAGGCTGTGAGGGATGGAAGTACATGCGTTCAATGGATTGTAGGCCTACTATTGCTTAACAACATACTAATTGTTCAGCTGATGAAATATCTTCCCTAGAGAAAAATAATTACTAGACAAAAAGTAACCTGTCTAAATTCCGATGTAATACCACTAGATGTCACTATTCTCCTTTGTCATGGAGCGCATGGTAGAAAATGTCAATACTGTAATTTATTAGATCATTTTTATCCTGTGTGTGGGGAGAAGATTCGTTTAGCTAAATGTCTTTGCATTTTCCCATTTATTATCTGCATTTAAGTTTAATTTATATCCTTAAAACATGAGTTTTCAAGAAAAATCAAAAAAGAATCAGTGTAGCAGCATCTAACAGGCACTGATCATTGACAGCAGGAGGCACGACACCAGTTGGTCCCATTTTGCCAATGAAGCGTTAACATCAGCCGTCTTCTCTCCCCTCCCACAACCTATTTAAACAAACATCTGCCCTTATCTTGAGTCTTTAGGAACCCCGTTGCACACAGTCGCGAATAACTAGCATCTACTGTTGAAGAGACGTGATGGCTTTGGCAGATCCCGAGTGCGGAAAATCAAACGGCGCGGATTCCGCCTCCCCGTTTTCTGATATTATTGAACTAAACGTGGGAGGACAAGTGTATGTGACACGGCACACGACTTTAATAGCCGTACCGGATTCTCTCCTGTGGCCTTAAAACATGAGTTTTCAAGAAAAATCAAAACAGAATCAGTGTAGCATCTAACAGGCACTGATCATTGACAGCAGGAGGCACGACACCAGTTGGTCCCATTTTGCCAATGAAGCGTTAACATCAGCCGTCTTCTCTCCCCTCCCACAACCTATTTAAACAAACATCTGCCCTTATCTTGAGTCTTTAGGAACCCCGTTGCACACAGTCGCGAATAACTAGCATCTACTGTTGAAGAGACGTGATGGCTTTGGCAGATCCCGAGTGCGGAAAATCAAACGGCGCGGATTCCGCCTCCCCGTTTTCTGATATTATTGAACTAAACGTGGGAGGACAAGTGTATGTGACACGGCACACGACTTTAATAGCCGTACCGGATTCTCTCCTGTGGAACATGTTTAGTAAGAAAACACCGACAGAGCTGGCACGGGATAGCAAAGGTCGCTTCTTTCTGGACAGGGACGGCTTTCTTTTCCGCTACATTTTAGACTACCTACGGGATCTAAATCTGGTTTTGCCTGACTATTTTCCAGAGAAGATCAGATTACAGCGGGAGGCTCAGTTTTTTAAGCTGCGGGAGCTGTCCAAGCTCTTGAGTCCCAAAATGAGTAAAGACAACTCCATCACCGATGAGATCTGCCAGAGTGACTCGGAGGAGCCGAGCGCGACTCCGCTGGTGGGACTCGACGCCTCGCGCACGCTGTCCGTCGCCAGCACCGCTCATTCACCTTCCCTGGAGTCCAAAAAGTCGGGCTACATCACAGTCGGTTACCGGGGCTCATATACAATCGGTAGAGACATACAGACAGACGCCAAATTCAGGCGGGTCGCGAGAATCACGGTGTGCGGGAAGACTTCTCTGGCTAAGGAGGTGTTCGGAGACACTTTGAACGAGAGCAGAGACCCGGACCGACCTCCGGAGAGGTACACATCGCGCTATTATCTGAAATATAATTTTCTCGAGCAGGCGTTTGACAAACTGTCAGAGTTTGGCTTCCATATGGTCGCGTGCAGCTCCACTGGCACGTGCGCTTACTCCAGCAGTGACCCAAACGAGGACAAAATCTGGACAAGCTATACAGAGTATGTTTTCTGTCGAGAATGAGCCAAAATGTGTTGCATTTGATTGTGTATATAGGCATTCCACTATAAATAAAGTAAAGTAAACGTAGAGTAAGGTTTCAGCCGTCTTGGAGAGGTGTAGCCTATTGGAGTGTTTCACAAATTTCTAGTTGTGTACATCATAGAATTGGCTCCAAGACTTTAACAGCCTACTACATGTAGTAGTACATGTTGCTAGAATTAACGAACGCAGAATAACTAGCTATCATTTCACTTCCCTTCATAGCTTTTTCAGATTTGAGGGTCTATTTGTAAAAAGTCCCAGATGTGTTTTGTACTTGCTGTTCTTGTTGCATGTGTTTAAAATGAACACATTAAATATTTTTCTTCCCGGGACAATGATTTAACGAACGATTCCACTTTCAGGAAAAGTCGATTGCTGACACATTAGGCAACATTCTGGAAAGACCCTGACATTCAGCTTCCTTTGTGTTCATCAGACTGTAGATCTCAATGACACTTTTCCTTGATAAGTTCAGTTGTATCTTTTCACTGTGAATAACCAACTAAAACTGAAAACCTAAGTTTAATTGCTGCCTTAATTTCTTTAGTAAAATTAAAGTGGTGCCAAAGTTACCTGCGATTCGTTGCACTTTTTGACCACTTTGAATTTCATTACAGATTAAGAAAATCGAGTAGAAGCTCTTAAAACTCAAAATCAAAAAAAGTAACAACTTTGTAATATAGATATTACAAAGATATTAAAAAAAATTTCAAGTAAGTATTACCTTTTTACAGCATACAACTGTATTGTACTGAATGTTGCACATATTTTGTTTGGGCAAGAGTGGGAATTGTTTTTTTGTTTTGTCTTAGGTTTACTGTTTCTATGTCTGAATTACAACAAAGTTCTCCTCTTTATTCCAGCATTGTAAGCATCTGTTGTCTGTTCAAAAGTTGATCATACAATAAATTATAAAAGTAACAACTTTGTAATATAGATATTACAAAGATATTAAAAAAATTTTCAAGTATTACCTTTTTACAGCATACAACTGTATTGTACTGAATGTTGCACATATTTTGTTTGGGCAAGAGTGGGAATTGTTTTTTTGTTTTGTCTTAGGTTTACTGTTTCTATGTCTGAATTACAACAAAGTTCTCCTCTTTATTCCAGCATTGTAAGCATCTGTTGTCTGTTCAAAAGTTGATCATACAATAAATTATAATCTGTTATAATCTTTCAGCTTCAGCCTTAATTTTATTTGTTTCCGGTGTGTCTTGTGCAGCTCTAAAGGCTGGAGGGCTAAACAAGAACATGTGTAACCAGCTGTTGAACAACCCATATTTACTCTTCTGTTTGGTGCAAATGCATCCCATGCTTTAAGCTTTTTTTTTTTAAATAACTTTTTGTGGCATTGAAGTTGAAGAGGGTTTACTGTAAAAATGCATGTTTGAATTTAAATAGGAAAAATGCTAAAATTGTTTTAGCAATAACATAAAACATCCATTTTTAGCATAACCTTTGCCTAATCTCATCAAACGATGATAGAGATTGAGGGAAAAATTGAATTACAAGGAAATAACTGGGATTAACAAATTAGTCCTCAAGCTTGCTTTTTAGATGGATGAAGTATTATTAACTGCTCTCAAGAGGTTTTCGGGTCAGCCAGATTATTTCAGTGGCCTGCTTATGGATCATTGCCAGTATTAATGAATACAATAATTGTACCAATGTACAATAGTTCCCTTTCCGTTTTTTTGTGACACAAATGTTGTTGAAATGCAGATGGCGCAGCTGTACACAAATTTGGTGGCATTATCATTTCGAGTGTAAATAATGAAAGGATCCAGCTGCGAGATTAAGGTTACAGAACGGGTCTCTCTGTTTACAGCCAGTGAAGGTCCTCTATTGCATTTGCATTCAACAATATATACTAAAACATTTTAAATTTCTGTTCATTACATATAAATTGGGGTAGGAATTATTTGAAAATTGTGGGGTGGACAATCTCATTAGTCTTCAGGGGGAAGTCGTGGCCTAATGGTTAGAGAGTTGGACTCATAACCCAAAGGTTGTGAGTTCGAGTCTCGT